AACAAAAATTAGCCGGTCTTGGTGGCACGCACCTATCATCCCAGCTACTCAGGAGGCTGAGGTAGGAGAATCACTTGAACCCAGGAGGCCAAGGCTGCAGTGAGCTGAGATCCTGCCACTGAACTCTAGACTGGGCAACTGAGTGAGACCCCATCTCAAAAAAAAAAAAAAAACCAGCCTGAGCAACAGAGAACCAACTTCTCAAACCAAACCAGAAACTAGTCAGAAATGGCAACGTCTGCCTGTAGTCCCAGCTACTGAAGATGATGACTGGGGAAAATCAGTGGAGGCCAAAAGGCCAAGGCTGCAGTGGAGCCATGATCACATGATGACACCCAAGCCTGGGTGACAGAGCACGAGGATAAAAAAGTTAACAGGAAAAAATATAAAAAACAAGACCTGAAATGAGCAGCTACCATGTCCAGGGCAAAGACAGACCGACAAAGCAGAGGCTTAATCTGCTCTGAACCCCCAGAAGACAAGAAAAACAATGAGACATTGAATAAAACAGACCACACTGTAAAATGACACAGGCAGAATTTACTACAAATCGGTCAGAAATACACTTTCAAGATTAAAAGTAGACATAGGCATTTAGCCAAGGCGCACTGCGAGAAACTAAACACGAGAGTCCAGGGAAGCTTTGGGATTCTAGATGCAGTTGAAAATCAAAGACATATAGAGCTGGATCGACAAGAGGCCATTATAACGCACGTGCACTGCAGAAAAAGCCACCATGAGAGGAGATGAGACTTGAGTGTCCATTAAGAGGCAGGAGAAGAGCCCGAAGAGGCCATCGTGAGGCAGGAACTGAGGTGAAAATGTCCACGGCAAAACAGGAGTTGCATCTTCAGAGGCAGACATGACTAAGCAGATGGTCTTGGAGACGCCAGTGTGTACGAAAGGAAGACCTGCCAAAAGGGTTGAAAAACAGCTATTAAATAAGCCTCAGGAGGCCCACATGAGATAACATCTAGGCTTTGATAGACGGCTTTGAGGAAAGCACTGTGTCTGTCCGGACCACCGGGAGGCCGAAGGAGGGCCTGAAAAGTCCATATGAGGAAGGCTGAGGTGTACAGTATTTACCAAGACATGGGAAGAAGCTGGGCCTGTGATGCTTCTTGCAAGGAAAGACTGGGGCTTCCAGACACAGCAGGGAGGAAGAGCTGGGCCTAAAGAGGCTGACCTGAAGACATTTTGGGAATAAAGAGGATGCCAGAATGCCAGTGCTGGGCCTGGCAGGGCCACCGGGAGGCACCAGCTTGGTCTGATGGGGACACGGGGAGGCTGGGGGAGGGCCTGAAAATAAAGGCTGCCACAGAGGCAGGAACTAAGCCTGAGCAGTGGCCACGGTGATGCCACGAGCTGGGCCTGGAGGGTCCATTGAAAAGTGGAGGGCGGGCCCGGAGAGGAAGCTTCGGGCCTGGATAAGCCGCCAGGAGGCAGGAGCTGGCCCGGGAGAGTCCATGATAGGTGAGCTCAGCAGAGGAAGGCTGCTGTGAGGGAGAACCTGGGCCTAGACTCGAGGGAGGCCAGCACGAGGTGAAAGCTGGGTCCGGAGACGTTTGTCACAGGCATGAGCTGGGCCTCAATGAATCAGTGTCAGGGAGGAACTGGGCCTGTGGACATAGCCGGGATGCAGGAAAGCAAGCAGGATCTTGGCCTGGGGAAGCCACCAGCAGGCAGCAACTGGGGCTGGGGAGGCTGCGGGAAGTCCAGGGCTGGCCTGGAGCAGCCAACATCAGGCGGTAGCGGGGTCTGTCAAGGCCACCAGGAGGCAGAATGGCAGCCTGGAAAGCCCCACTTGAGAACCCTTTGGCTGACAGATGAAAGGCCGCAGAAAGCTGGCCAGGGGCCGAGCCAAAAAAAAGCTGCCAGAAGGCAGGACGGGCCGGTAGACAGGGCCAGGAGGAGGATCTGGATCTGGGGAGTCCCCCAGAGAGGAGGCATACGCTGGACCTCCCGAAGAGGCTGACAGGAGGCAGAGGCTGGGCCCACGGCGCCTTTGGGAGGCAGAAGCTTGACTTGCAGGAACCCACCTGATGAAGTTTTGCGCCCATGAGGAGGAGATGCCAGGAGGGCAGGAGCTGGGCCTGGAGAGGCTGAATTCAGGACCTAATACTGGGCATCCCATGGCCAGCAGGAGGAGGCAACAGGAGCCGGGCTGGCAGAAGCCGACTTGGGAATGTCTGGGGCCTGGAGATGCCCTGGGAGGGCAGGAGCTGAGCTCAGAGAGGCCACTAATGAGGCATGAGCCGGGTGGGCCTGGAGAGCCTGAGTCGGTAGTCTGAGCTTTTGGGCCTACAAAGGCCATCGGGAGCTGTGCAGGAGCCAAGTCCACACAGGTTGCTGCAAGAAAAATTCGCATGTTGGGCCTGTAGATGCTGCCGAGAGGAGGCGCTGGGCCCAGAGAGGCCGACCTGAAGATGTTCTGGACACGAAGAGGATGCCAGAAGGCCAACACTGGGATTGGCAGGGCCCCCTGGGAGGCACTGGCTTGGCCCCAGGGGGCCATGAAGAGGCAGGGGTCTGGGCCCGTGGAAACAGGCTGCCACAAAGGCAGAAGCGGAGTCTGAAGGGTCCTCTGAGAGGCGGAGGCTGGGCCCGAGGGCCTAGCACAGGCAGGAGCCCAGTGTGGGGAGGCTGGGCCCAGAGAGAAACCTTCAGGCCCTGACAGGCCGCCGGGGGACAGGAGCTGGCCTGTGAGAGTCCATCACAAGTGAGCTGGGCTGAGAAAGGCCGGTGCGAGGGAGGACCTGCGCCCAGAGTACAGGCCAGCGCCAGGACATAACTGGCTCCACAGGCGTCTTTCAGAGGCATGAATTGGGCCTCAACTGGCCAGTGTGAAGGAGGCGCTGGGCCTGTGGATGCAGCCGGAATGCAGGCAGGCAGCCAGGCAGGTAGGCAAGATCTTGGACTGTGGAAGCAGCCAGCAGGCAGCAGCTGGGGCCGGGGAGGCTGCGGGGAGTTCAGAGCATGGCCCTGGGGCCCAGTTCTGCTATGTCCTCCCGCTGGCCTTGGGAGGCCTAAGCACTGGGTCATGAAGTCCGCCTCAACAGGTCACCCTCCTGCCCTCCTGGCAGCACCGTCCAACGTGGGTGCAATACGCCATCACGTGGTCCCCTCCAGAATCAGCTCCTGCGTCCCAGTGGCCCCCTGGGGCCCAGCTTCTGATTCCCATCAGGTGGCCTCTCCAGGAGGCCATCCTCTGCCTCCCTACTGGCAGCCTCACCAGGCCTGGATCCTCATCCTGACCACGTCTACAGGCCCAAGTTTTGCGCCCCGGCAGCCTGTTTTGGCTTGGCTCCAGTCCAGCTCCCAGCAGCCTTTTGTCTGTTGGTGTGAAGCTTCCTCAGGTGGGGCCTTCTAAGTGTCCCTTCTGTTGAGGCCACCGGGAGGCAAAAGGGAGGCCCGGAAGGCCTTACCTGAGAAAGCCTTGGGCCAACAGACAAAAGCCCGCCGGGAGCTGGCCAGGAGCCGAGCCAAAAACTGCTGCTGGGGACAAGGTGTGATAACTCACGCCTGTAATCCCGGCACTTTGGGAGGCAGAGGCGGGTGGATCACGAGCTCATGAGATCAAGACCATCCTGATCAACATGGTGAAACCCCGTCTCACCTAAAAATACAAAAAATTAGCTGGCCATGGTGGTGTGTGCCTGCAATGCCAGATACTCAGGAGGCTGAGGCAGAACTGTCTGAACCCAGGAGGCGGAGGTTGTGGAGAACTGAGATCGCGCCATTGCACTGCAGCCTGGGCAAGAAGAGCGAAACTCAATTTCAAAAAAAAAAAAAAATTAGCTGGGCACGGTGGCGGGTGCCTGTAATCCCAGTTACTCAGGAGGCTGAGGCAGGAGAATGGCCTGAACCCAGGAGGCAGAGGTTGCGGTGAGCCGAGATTGCGCCATTCTACTCCAGCCTGGGTAACAAGAGCAAAATTGTCTCCAAAAAAAAAAAAAAAAAAAAAAAATACAAAATATTAACTGCGCATGGTGGTGCATGCCTGTAATCCCAGCTACTCAGGAGGCTGAGGTAGGAGTATTGCCTGAACCCAAAAGGCGGAGGTTGAGGTGAGATGAAAGCACACCATTGCACTCCCGCCTGGGTAACAAGAGAAAAACTCCGTCTCAAAAAAAAAAAAAAAGGCTGCCGGGGGCAAAATGTGGGCCCATAGACGTGGCCAGGAGGAGGATCCAGACCTGGAGAGGTCGCCAGTACAGAGGCAGAGGCTAGGTGTCCAGAAGAGTATGAAGGGAAGCAGGAGCTAAGCCTAGGGGGCCTTTGGGAGGCACGAGCTGGCCCTAGAATGGCCCACGTGATGACGTTTGCACCCATATGGAGGAGACTCCAAGAGGACTGAAGCTGGGCCTGGAGAGGCTGAATTCAGAACCCAATGCTTGAACCTGCAGAGGCCAATAGGAGGAGTCCAGAGCTGAGCCTGGAGAAGCCAACTCTGGGACATCTGGGGCCTCTAGGCACCCTGGGTGGGCAGAAGGTGAGCCCGGAGAGGCCAGCATGAGGCATGAGCCGAGTAGTCCTGGAGAGCCTGAGTCGATGGTCTGAGCTTTTGGGCCTACAAAGGCCGTCGGGAGCTGGGCAGGAGCTGAGTCCACACAGGTTGCTGCAAGGCAAATTCAGAAGTTGAGCCTGTAGACGCTGCCGAGGAGGTGCTGGGCCCCGAGAGCCCGACTGAAGATATTCTGCACATGAAGAGGATGCCAGAAGGCCAACACTGGGCCCGGCAGGGCCCACTGGGAGGCACTGGCTTGGCCCCAGGGGGCCACGGGAAGGTTGGGGTCTGGGCCTGTGGAAACAGGCTGCCACAAACGCAGAAGTGGGGTCTGAAAGGTCCTCTGAGAGGCGGAGGCTGGGCCCGAGGGCCTAGTGCAGGCAGGAGCCCGGTGTGGGGAGGCTGGGCCCGGAATGGAAGCTTGGGCCCTGACAGGCCAGCGGGGGACAGGAGCTGGCCTGCGAGAGTCCATCACAAGTGAGCCTGGCTGAGAAAGGCCGGTGCGAGGGAGGACCTGCGCCCAGAGTAGAGGCCATCACCAGGCGATAGCTGGCTCCAGAGACGTCTTTCAGAGGCATGAATTGGGCCTCAACTGGCCAGTGTGAGGGAGGAGCTGGGCCTGTGGTTGCAGCCAAGATGCAGGGAGGCAGGCAGGCAGGCAGGAAAGATGTTAGCCTGTGGAAGCAGCCAGCAGGCAGCAGCTGGAGCTGCGGGGGCAGCGGGGAGTCCAGAGTTCAGCCCTGAGGCCCAGTCCTGCTTTGTCCTCCCGCTGGCCTTGGGAGGCCCAAGCACTGGGTCATGAAGTCCGCCTCTGCAGGTCCAGCTCCTGCCCTCCCGGCAGCACCCCCCAACGTGGGCACAGTACATCATCACGTGGTCCCCTCCAGGGCCAGATCCTGCATCCCAGTGGCCCCCTGGGGCCCAGCTCCTGATTCCCATCAGGTGGCCTCTCCAGGAGGCCCAGCCTCTACCTCCCTACTGGTAGCCTCACCAGACCTGGATCCTCATATTGGCCACGTCTACGGGCTCAATTTTGCCCCTGGCAGCCTCTTTCGGCTCAGCTCCTCGCCTGCTCATGGCGGGTTTTCATCTGTCGGCATGAAGCTTCTTCAGGTGGGGCTTTTGGGCGTCCCTTCTGCCTCCCGGTGTCCTCAACAGAAGGGACACCCAGAAGGCCCCACCTGTGAAACCTTTGGGTTGACAGACAAAAGGCCGCTGGGAGCTGGCCAGGAGCTGAGCCAAAAGATGCTGCTGGGGTCCAGGCGCAGTAACTCACGCCTGTAATCCCGGCACTTTGGGAGGCAGAGGCGGGTGGATCAGGAGATCAGGAGTTCGAGACCATCCTGGTCAACATGGTGAAACCCCGTCTCACCTAAAAATACAAAAAATTAGCTGGGCATGGTGGTGTGTGCCTTAATCCCAGGTACTAAGGAGGCTGAGGCAGAAGAATTGCCTGAACCCAGGAGGCGGAGGTTGCAGTGATCCGAGATGGCGACATTGCACTCCAGCCTGGGTAACAAAAGCGAAACTCCGTCTCAAAATAAAAAAAAAAAATTAGCCAAACACGGTGGCACCTGCCTGTAATCCCAGCTACTCAGGCAACTGAGGCAGGAGAATTGCCTGAACCCAGGAAACAGAGGCTGAGGTGAGCCGAGATTACACCATTGCACTCACGGCTGGGTAACAAGGGCAAAACTGCGTTTCAAAAAAAAAAAAAAAAAAAAAGGCTGCCGGGGGCAAAGCTTGGGCCCGTAGACGTGGCCAGGAGGAGGATCCAGGCCTGGAGAGGCCACCAGTACAGAGGCAGAGGGTAGGCATCCAGAAGAGGCTGATGGGAGGCAGGAGGTAAGCCCAGGGGGCCTTTGGGAGGCATGAGCTGGCCCAAGAAGGGCCCACGTGATGATGTATTGCACCCATGGGGAGGAGACGCCAGAAGGACTGAAGCTGGGCCTCGAGAGGCTGAATTGAGAACCCAATGCTTGAACCTGCAGAGGCCAATAGGAGGAGTCTGGAGCCGGGCCTGAAGAAGCCAACTCTGGAACATCTGGGGCCTATAGTCACCCTGGGTGGGCAGAAGGTGAGCCCGGAGAGGCCAGCGTGAGGCATGAGCCGGGCAGTCCTGGAGAGCCTGAGTCGATGGTCTGAGGGTTCGGGCCTACAAAGGCCGTCGGGAGCTGGGCAGGAGCCGAGTCCACAGAGGTTGCTGTGAGGCAAATTCAGAAGTTGGGCCTGTAGACGCTGCCGAGAGGAGGCACTGGGTCCCGAGAGGCCTACCTGAAGACATTCTGTGGCACGAGAGGATGCCACCAGGCCAATGCCGGGTCTAAGAGGGCAGTCTGGAGCACCGGTTTGGCCCGAGGAGGCCACCAGGAGGCCAGGAGCTGGGCCTGTGGAGACAGGCTGCCACAGAGGCAGGAGCTGCTCTGAGCGGAGCCCACGATGAGGCCACAAGCTGGGTCTCGGGGGTCCATTGAGACGCGGACGCTCAACCTGGAGGGGTTTAGCGCTGGAAGGAGCCAGGCCTGGAGAGGCCAGGCCCGGAGAGGAAGCTTCGGGCCTGGACAGGCCACTGGGATGCAGGAGCTGAACAGAGAGTTTATGAGAGGCAAGCTGGGCTAAGAAAAGCCGGTGCGAGGAAGAAAAAAAAAAAACACAAAAAATTAGCTGGGCATGGTGGCGCATGCCTGTAATCCCAGCTACTCAGGAGGTTGAGGCAGGAGTATTGCCTGAACCCAGGAGGCGGACGTTGAGGTGAGCCGAGATCACACCATTGCACTCGTGGCTGGGTAAGAAGAGCAAAACTGTGATTCAAAAAAAAAAAAAAGGCTGCCGGGGGCAAAGTTGGGGCCTGTTGCCTGGGCCCAGACTCAAGGCCAGTACAAGGCGATAGCTAAGTCCAGAGACATCTGCTAGAGGCCAAGTTGGGCCTCAACTGGCCAGTGTGAGGGAGGCGTTGGGTTTGTGGACAAAGTCGGGAGGTAGGCAGGATCTTGGCCTGGGGAAGTGGCCGACAGACAGTGGATGGTGCTGGGGGTGCTGTAGGGAGACCAGAACTGGGCATGGAGAGGCCAATGTCAGGATGTAGCTGGGCCTGTCAAGGCCACCGGGAGGCAGAAGGGACACCCCAAAAGCCCTGAGGAAGCTTCTGGCCGACAGACGAAAGGCCGTCGTGAGCTGGCCAGGAGCTGAGCCAAAAGAGGATGCCAGGGGGCAAAATGTCGGCCGGTAGATACAGCCAGCAGGACGATCCGGGTGTGCGGAGGCCACCAGTAGGAGGCAGAGGCTGGGCCTACAGAGATGAACCTGAGGACCCAATGCTTGGGCCTCCCGAGGCCAGCAGGATGAGGCAGCAGGACCCGGGCCAGCAGAAGCTGACTCAGGAATGTCTGGGGCCTGGAGATGCCCTGGGAGGGCAGAAGCCAAGCCTGGAGAGACCAGCGTGAGACATGAGCTGGGTGGGTCTGGAGAGCCTGAGCCGAGGGCCTGAGCTTTCGGGCCTACAAAGGCCGCCAGGAGCTGGGGAGGAACTGAGTCCCCAGAGGTTGCTGCGAGGCAAATTCAAACATTGAGCCCATAGACACGGCCGAGAGCAGGAGCTGGGCCCCGAAAGGCCAACCTGAAGACATTCAGGGCACAGAGAGGATGCCAGCAGACCAATGCTGGGTGCGGGAGGGCCACCGGGACGCACCGGCTTGGCCTGATATGGCCACGTGGAGGCTGGGGGCGGGGCCTGTGGATACAGGCTGCCACAGAGGCAGGAGGTGGGCCTGAGCAGAGGCCACGGTGATGCCATGAGCTGGGCCTGGAGGGTCCACTGAAAGGCAGAGGCTGGGCCCAGTATGGGCCTGGCGCAAGCAGGAGCTAAGGCTGGGGAGGCCGGGCCCAAAGAGGAAGCTTTGGGCCTGAACAGGCCGCTGGAAGGCAGGAGCTGGCCTGGGAGAGTCCATGATAGGTGAGCTGGGCTGAGGAAGACCCCTGCGAGGGAGTGCCTGGGCCTAGACTCAAGGCAAGAGTGAGGCGAGAGCTGGGTCCGGAGAGGTTTGCCACAGGCATGAGCTGGGCCCCAACAGGCCAGTGTGAGGGGGAGCACTGGGCCCGTGGACGCAGCCAGAATGCAGGCAGGCAGGCAGGCAGGCAGGAAGGCAGGAAGAATCTTGGCCTGGGGAAGCCACCAGCAGGGAGCAGCTGGTGATGGGGCGGCTGCGGAGAATCCAGAGCTGGGCCCGCTGGGGCCAATGTCAGGTGGTAACAGGGCCAGTCCAGGCCACCAGGAGGCAGAACAAAGGCCTGAAAAGCCCCACTTGAGAAAGCTTCGGGCCTACAGAAGAAAGGCCGCTGGAAGCTGGTCAGAAGCTGAGCAAAAAGCAGCTGCCGGGAGGCAGGACGTGGTCCAGTAGATGAGGCCAGGAGGAGGATCCGGGCCTGGAAAGGCCACCAGAAGGGAGGCATAGGCTGGACCTCCCGGAGAGGCTGAGGGGAGGCAGAAGCTGGGCCCCAGGGTGCCGTTGGGAGGCAGCAGCTGGCCCTGGAGGCACCCATGTGAGGATATCTTGCAACCATGTGGAGGAGACGCCAGGAGAGCAGGAGCTGGGCCTGGAGAGGCCGACTTCAGGACCCAATGCTCGGGCCTCCTGAGGCCAGCAGGAGCACACAGCAGGAGCAAAACTCCATCTTCAGTGACAATAATACTAAAATTATTAAGTATCAATATAAATAATCCTTTTGTTTCTTTGAGATAGAGTCTCACTCTTTCCCCAAGGCTGGAATGAAGCATATAATCTCGGTTCACTGCAACCTCTGCCCCACCTCCCAGTTCAGAGGATTCTCCTGTGTCAGCCTCTGAAGTAGCTTGGATTACAGGCACCCACCACCATGCCCGGCTAATTTGTGTTGTTGGGTTTATTTTTGTTTTTTTTCTTTTGAGACGGAGTTTCACTCCTTACCCAGGCTGGAGTGCAATGGTGCGTTCTCGGCTCACTGCAACCGCCGCCTCCTGGGTTCAGGCAATTCTCCGGCCTCAGCCTCCTGAGTAGCTGGGATTACAGGCACGCGCCACCATGCCCAGCTAATTTTTTGTATTTTTAGTAGAGACGGGGTTTCACCTTGTTGACCAGGATGGTCTCGATCTCTTGACCTCGTGATCCACCCGCCTTGGCCTCCCAAAGTAATCTTTGTTTTTTAGTAGAGATAAGGTTTTGCCATGTTGGCAAAGCTGGTCTTGAACTCCTGACCTCAGGTAATCCACCAGGCTCATTCTCCCAAAGTGTTGGGAATGCAGGCGTAAGTCACTGCGCCCAGCCCGATTAACATATTTTTTAAAACACTGATTAGTCAGGCAACAACACCGGGCAGGGGTCTCCTCATTCCCAGTGATGAAAACCACACTCCATGGCTCCAGGGTTGCAAGGGCTGCAGAGCCAAAAGGCTCTGACTTGAGATTTCATTACTTTATTTGTATGGCGAGACAAGGTCCTGCTTTGCCACCCAGCCTGGAGTGCAGTTGTGCACTTGTAGCCCACTGCAGCCTCAATGTCCTGGGCTCAAGCCATCTTCCTGCCTCAGCTCCCCAGTGCTGATACTACAGTTGAGTGCCACCATACCTGGCTAGTTTGTAATTTTTTTGTAGTGTGGAGTCTTGCTATGTTGCCCAAGCTGGCCTCAAACTCCTGACCTCAAGAGATCTGCCCACCTCAGCCTCCTGAGTAGTTGAGACTATGAGTACACAGCACCATGCCTAGCTACATTTATTTTATTAAATTTTGAGAAACATTTTTGTAGAGAGGAGGCCTTGCTATGTTTCCCAGGCTGGTCTTGAACTTCTGCTCTTAAAAGATACTCCCATCTCTGCTTCCCAAAAATCTGGGACTACAGACATGAACCACTGCACTGCACCTGAAGAGATTTCTTTAATCTAGCATCCCATATTTGGTAACACTGGACAAGGCTGTAGAGTTTTCAACACTTAATAATTCAGTAAGAATCAAACTCAACCTTGACCCCTGCCTTCTCTCACACCCCACATCCAGTCTGTCAGGAAATCCTGTTGACTGTCTTCACCATGTACTGAAGATCTCCACCCAGCAACTCACTGGAATCCTGCCCCCTACTTCTCTCTTCTGACCATCTCTCACCACCACCATGACCCTGGTCAGGACCACTATCATCTTCCACCTGGATGTTACCACAGCTTGACCCCCATGCTTCTACCCAAATCTTCCCACAGTCTTTCTCAACTCAGCAGCCAGAGAATGCTTTTACATCAGGAGACAGATCACGTCCTGACAGATCAACTCCTGACAGATCAGGAGACAAATCAGATCAGAATCTTCCCACAGGTCCCATCTCATAGTAAAAGCCAAAGCCCCAGCAATAGCCTCCCAGGGCTTACACAATCTACACCGATCCCCACCCAGCAACTCCATGGCCTCCTCTCCTAATTCTCTCCCCCTCTCCTGCTCCACTGGCCTCCTTCCAGAGCCTCGGACAGTTTATTCTGTTGTTTCTGCCCACAATGCTCCTCCTTCAGCACCTCGGCCACCTCCTTCCCCTCTAAGTCTTTGCTCCATTTTCACTTAGGAGGCCACCACTGACCTTTCTATTTAACACCGCCAACTGTCTCCATTTACACCGTGTTCATGTTTTTTTGTTTTCAAAACAAGATCTCACCCTGATCCACGAAGATTGGAGCAGAGTGGTGCAATCACAGCTCGCTGCAACCTCGAATTCCTAGGCTCAACCGATCCTTCCACCTCAAGACTCCCTAGTAGCTGGAACGACAGGGGCATGCCATCATGCCTGGCTAATTTGTTTTATGTTGAAATGGGGTTTCACTCTTCTTGCTCAAGCTGGAGTGCAATGGTGCAATCCCAGCTCACTGCAACCTCCACCTCCCAGGTTCAAGTGATTCTTCAGCCTCAGCCTCCAAAGTAGCTGGGATCACAGCTGTGTGCCACCATGCCTAATTTTTGTATTTTTAGTAGAGATGGGGGTTTGTCATGTTGGCCAGGCTGGTCTCAAACTCCTGACCTCAGGTGATCCTTGGCCTCCCAAAATGTTAGGATTACAGGAGTGGGCCACCACACACGGTCAATTTAATTTTTCGTAGAGACAGGTTCTCACTATGTTGCCCAGGCTGATCTTGGACTCCTGGCCTCAAGTGATCCTCCTGCTAGGATTGCTAAAGTGCTGGTATTACCACCATCAGCCAGGATGCTTGGTGTCATGTTTATTTCCTTTTGCTGCTGCCACAAACTACTGTATATTAGTCCCTTGAAACACCACAAATCTACCAACTTACAGTTCCGTGAATCAGAAGCCCAAATTAGGTCTAATAAGGCTAAAGTTAAGGTGTCAGCAGGGCTGCATTCCTTCTCGAGGCTCTAAAGTGTTCCTTTGGCTTTTCCAGCTTCTAGAAGCCACCCCCATTCCTTGGATCATGGCCATTAACTCCATCTTTAAAGCCAGAAGTGAAACCTCTGCAAATCTCCCTCTCTAACTCTGCTTCCACCACCACATCTCCTGCTCCAATTCTGACTCTTCTAACCTCTTTCTTTTATAAGGATCTTTGTGACTGCTGGGCATGGTGGATCCCACCCATAATCCCAACACTTTGGGAAGTCAAGGCAGGAGGTATATTTAAGGCCTGGAGTTTGAAACTAGCCTGGACAACATAGTGAGATCCCACCTCTACAAAAGCATAACAATAAATATTAGCCAGACATGGTGGTGAGCGCCTGCAGTCCCAGCTACTTGAGAGGCTGACGTGAAATAATGACTTTAGCCCAGGAGTTTGAGATCAGCCTGGGCAACATAACTGAATCTCATCTCTACAAAAATGACCTGGGCATGGGTGACATGCATGTGTAGTCCCAGCTACTCTGAAGTCTGAGATGGGAAGATCACTTGAGCTCAGGAGGTCAAAGCTATAGTGAGCTATGATCATATCACTGTGCTCCAGCCTAGATGACACAGGGAGATTGTCTCAAAAAAAAAAAAGAAAATAAATATATACTTGTTCTCTGTCCACGGTTCCTGGCACAGAGTTTGAATGCTTTTAAAGACCTCAGTCATAGAGGTTGATAGCATCAACGTTAGTTTTAATATTTTGTCTTGGCCCCAGCTTTCTAACACAAGAGACTCTTAAGAACTTTGGGATCTCCAGCATGCTAAGATGCATTTGGAAATTCTTATCCCCAGTTGAGATGACTGGGTGGCTGCACGCTCCTTGATTTCTTCAGGAGGAGGGCTGATTGCCAGAGAAAGCAATCACATGATTAGGGGCTTAGAACTTTTAGCCTCACCTGCTGAACTCCAGGAGGTGAGAGTGGCTGAAGATTGACTGAATTACCAATGGCCAAAGATTTTATCAATCATGCTTGCATAGTACAGCCTCTGTAAACACCCTGGACAACAGGGTTTGCAGAGCTTCTGGTTGCTGAACACAGGAGCTGCTGGGAGGGCGGAGTGTTCAACACAGGGCATGGAAGCTCTGTGCACCTCCCACTTACCTTCCCTTGGGCATCCATCTTTCATTTCTTTCTCCCTTTCCTTCCTTTCTTTTTCCTCTTTCTTTTTTTTAAAAGACAAGTTCTGGCTCTTTTCTCCAGGCTAGAGTGCAGTGGCACAATTTCAGCTCACCATAACCTAAGTTTCCCCAGTCCCCAGCTCAATGCATCCTCACCTCAGCTTTCCTAGTAGCTGGAACTACAGGTGCACACCACCACACCTAGTTATTTATTTTTATTTACTTTTTGAGACAAAATCTTGCTCAGTAGCCCAGGCTGGAGTGCAGTAGCATGATGTCAGCTCACTGCAACCTCTGCATCCTGGGTTCAAGTGATTCTCCTGCCTCAGCCTCCTCAGTAGCTGGGACTACAGGTGCATATCAACACACCCACCTAATTTTTGTATTTTTTATAGAGAGAGGGTTTCACCATGTTTCCCAGGCTGAACTCAAACTCCTGCGTTTAAGAGATCCTCCCAACTCAACCTCCCGAAGTGCTGGGATCACAGGCATGAGCCACTGCATCCAGCATGCACATCTCTTTCACTGGCTGTTTCTGAGACATATCCTTTACAGTGAACCAGGAACAGAAAACGAACTGACAGATGTGGTGGCTCACATCTGTAATCCCAGCACGTTAAGGGACTGAGGTGGGATGATCACTAGGGCCCAGGAATTTGTGGCCAGCCCGGGCAACAAAACAAAATCCCATCGCTACAAAAAAATAAATTAGCCAGATGTGGTGGCGCAGGCGTGCAGTCTCAGCTACTAGAGAGCGGGGAGGACCACTTGGGCCCAGGCAGTTGAGGCTGCAGTGAGCTATGACTGCAACATTGCACACCGGCCTGGGCAACAAAATGAGACCCTGTCTCTCAGAAAAAAAGAAAATAAACTGCTTTTCTGAGTTCTGTAAGCTGTTCAAGCAAATGATTAAATCAAAGAAGGGGGTCTTGAGAACCCCTGATTTGTAATAGCTTGGTCAAAGGTACAGGTGAAAACCTAATACTTGCCATTGGCATCTGAAGTGGGGGTAGTCTCATGGGACTAAACGCCTAACCTGCAGGGTCTGTGCCAGCTCCAGGTAGTGTCAGAATAACATTGTGGGATGCCCAGTTACTATCCGGAACACTGGAGAATTTGGTGTATGAGCTCCACACACACAGTCAGTCAAAGTATGTGACTAGAGAGAAACCTGGGCTTTTCTTTCACCTAGCGGCCTAACTGCATAGGAGAAGCAATACATGGTGCTCATGAAAAGAGCAAGCATTAAAGTCAATGCAGTCCCTACAGCTGACTCAGCTTAATATCCATGTGAGCTTGGGGAAATCACTCATCATCCCTGTCTTTATCACCTCATTCATAAAATGGGGATAACTGGTACCTGCCTGTGACTTTTTGAGAATTCAGGAAATATTATGCTTGATGTTACTGTGATCATCACACCTATTCCAAACTATCTGACAGGGACAGTGATGGATGATAACATCACCAGATCAGAAACCATAGTGAGGTCTCTCAGGCAAAATTCCATACAAGCAAATTACTGTCTCTCCAGAGCCTTCCTGCCACACCTAATTCCCCACTCCCTGAACCGAATGTGCCATCTTAATTGTCCAGGTCTTTACAGTGCTGGTTTCCCTGCCCATTCCCCATCCCTCCACATCCCCCTTCGCTCCCTACTCTCACACAACTCTTCCTCATCTTTCAAAGGCCAGTTTCACTGTCACCTTATCTGGAAGCTTCTCACACTCTCCAGAAGAGCTTCCCATTGCCCGTGATGCATGCACTATTATTTGATCATTTTTGAGTTATTGTCCAAGTCTTTTTGTACCTGAGTAACATGATGCCCAGTCTCCTCCTGAACTCTGATGTCTTTCATGGTAGATCCAGCTGGAAGTGACAAAAAGACATTCTTTAAAAATAAAAGAAGGAATGAGGCGGACATCCATCCAATCCCATAAAAATTTTATAAGATACATGAAAAGCAAACAAAATCCAAGAGCTTCTAGGAAAAACATTAGAGGGAAGGTGTTACTGGGAGACATGCTAAAGGGTTAATTTTTATTGTATTTTACTTTTTTGAGAAAGAATCTTGCTCTATCCCCTAGGCTGGACCGCAGTGGTACAATCACAGCTCATTGCAGACTCAACCTACACGACTTCAGCAATATTCCAACCTAATTTTTATTTTATTTAAGAAATGCATTCTTACTGTTACCAAAGCTGGACTACAGCTTACTGCAGCCTCGACCTCCTAGGCTCAAGTGATCCTCCAGTCTCAGTAGCTGGGACTACAGGTGTGGACCGCAATGTCCAGCTCATGCTATCTTTAATTTTCTTTTAGAGACAATGTGCTGCTATGTCGACGAGGCTGGTGGTGATCCTTTAGCCTCAAGCAGTTCTCCCACCTCAGCCTTCCAAAGTGCTGGGATTACAGGTGTGAGCTGCCACACCCGCCGCAACCTGCTGAGGAGGTTAATTTTTAATGATATAAAGAGCTGAAAGCAAATATTAGAAGGAGCCTAAAGGGCTATAGAGGCTGACTGGTCAATTGTGATATGTCCATATAATAAAACATTAGGCAACCATGAAAAGGATTCAGATAGATCGATAGAAATTGACAAAGATGTCCACGAAATATGAAAATGAGAAGTGATATTCAATTAGCCCATATGTATTTGAAGAATATGGCCAATTATTTCCTGAGATAAGATTATGGGTCTAATGCGTAAAGGAAATTTTTCACTTCTTCATTTAAACGTCTTTACTATTTTTATAATTTAATAAAAGATTAAATATATAGATCATCTAATTAGTAAAAGACATGGTAACTCTATAAATAAACAGAAAAGACATGGACAGCCCAGCCTTGGTGGCTGACGCTTATAATAGCAGCACTTTGGGAGGGGGCAGTGGGAGAATTGCTTGAGGCCAGGAATTCCAGACCAGACTGGGAAACATGGCAAGACCTCGTCTCTATTAAAAATCAAAAATAATTAGCCAGACACGGTGGCATGTGCCTATAGTCCCAGTTACTGAGGTGGAAGGATCACCTGAGCCCAGGAGGTCAAGGCTGCAGTGAGTCGAGACTGTACCACCATACTCAAGCCTGGGCTACAGAGTGAGACTTGGTCTCCCCAAAAAAATAGAAGGAGCAAAAAAGAAAGCCAGCTGGGCACGGTAGCTCACACCTGTAATCCCAGCATTTTGGGAGGCTGAGTCAGTTGGATCACTTGAAATACGGAGTTCGAGACCAGCCTGACAAACATGGAGAAACCCTGTCTCTATTGAAAATACTTAGCCAGGTATGGTGGCACATGCCTGTAATTCCAGCTATTCTGCAGACTGAGGCAAGAGGATGGCTTGAATCCGAGAAAAAGGTTGCAGTCAGCAGCGATTGTGCCGTTGCACTCCAGCCTAGGAAACAAGAGTGAAACTTCATCTGAAAAAGAAAGAAAGAAAGCGACAAAGAGAAAGCTAATAAACTAAGATAAGAAAATATACATTAAAATGTAACAAAATTTATGAGGTCTTTCATTTATTAAAAATAATCAAACAAAAAATAACTTGTGATTGTACCCTGTGCCAGCAAAGGTGCAGTGAAATGGGCATTTTCTCTTACTATTAGTGATGTTAAATTGTATACAAGCCTTCCACCAGGGTAAAGCTTGGAAATTTTTAAAAAAGAATACAGTGACTCACTCTACTGCCTCCTCCAACTCCGGGCCTCAAGCAATCCTCCCACCTCAGCCTCCCAAAGTGTTGGAATTATAGGCCGACAGCCACCATGCCTGAAAGCTCGGCAGTTTACATCAAGTGTAACAAGAATGCCAATGTCCTGTGACTCACAGTAATCTCCTTTCTGGAAATATCATCTTCGGATACAATTCAACCTAAGCAGAAGGTCATATGCACAAACACGGTGAAAATCTAGGAGTAATATTTTTCTGTTTCAAAAACATACGGAACACTTCACAAATTTGCACGTCATTCTTGCACAGAGGCCATGCCAATCTCTCTATTGTTCCAACTTTAGTATATGCGCTACTGAAGCAAGCATGAGTAACTTAAGATAGAGCGGTTAAGCAAAATAAGGAAGAGTTATGGGGAACTTAGAAATCTATGGTATTTATAGGCACCTAGTAACAGCTCAGTAAATATTAGCTGCTACTTTTATTATCTTTATGGTAATTCCACTCAATTAAAAATTGTCATTTAAAATTTACCACTGTCATGGAACATCATGTATTTAAAAGTGTAATTGTAAAAACAGATAGAGGCTGGGTGTGGTGGCTCACACTTACAATCCCAGCAGTTTGGGAGGCCAAGGCAGGTGGATCACCTGAGGTCAGGGGTTCAAGACTAGCCTGACCAACATCGAGAAACCCCATCTCTACTAAAAAATACAAAATTAGTCAGGTGCGGTGGTGCCTGTAATCCCACCTACTCAGGAAGCCGAGGCAGGTGAATCACTTGAACCTGGGAGGTGGAGGTTGTGGTGAGCTGAGAGTGCACCATTGCTCTCCAGCCTGGGAGCAAAAGAGCAAAACTCCATCTCGGAAAAAAAAAAAAATCCCAGCACAGAGACTCACAGCTGTAATCCCAGCACTTTGGGAGGTTGAGGCCAGGCAGATCACCTGCAGTCAGGAGTTCAAGACCAGTCTGGCCAACATGGTGAAACCCTATCTCTACGAAAATACAAAAATTAGCTGGGCATGATGGCAGGTACCTGTAATCTTAGCCCACTCTTAACCCTGGGAGGCGGAGGTTGCAGTGAGCTGAGATTGTGCCATTGCACTCCAGCCTAGGCAACAGAGCAAGACTGTCTCAAAAACAAAACAAAACAAAACAAAACATACCATTTGTCCCTTGGTATATGGGGGGATTGGTTCCAACTCCCCAATATCTGTGAATACCAAAATCCATGCAAGCATCTGTAGTCCCAGCTACTTGTGAGGCTGAGGAAGGAGTGCTTTAGCCCAGGAGGTTGAGGCTGCACTGAGCCATAATTTTGCACCACTGCAATCCAGTCTGGGCAACAGAGTGAGAAACAAGGTTGACTTTTAAATATAATTTTTCGGTTCACTTGAGAATTTGGTCAGAACTGTGGCATATGAAAATTCTTCATAGAATAATTATCTAATCAAATTCATGCTAGAATTGGGAACAGAAAATGTTTTGTTGACTCTTTATTCCTTCACTTGCTGTTACATAAACTATGGCCAGTGGGCACTTACCAACCAGAAGTGTTATCTCAGAGCTACTCACAATGAAAGCTGATGTCTAGGGCCCAGGTGTGTTGAGGTCTCCATGCCTTGGCTATGGGTGAGTAGGACTTATAGGTCAATCCATTTTCTATATTCCAGCTCTGGAAAACTTGGGTTTATCCATCTTGATAAGATATAATTTAAATTTAACTTGGCAAGAAACACAAATGGAAGAAAGGTTATGAAACCACAGGATGGTACTTGTTCTCAAGGGACTCTTCAGCTTAGGTGCTTCTGTACAAAAGGAATGACATTGTCGAAAACTCATCACAGGTCAAGTGAGGTGCCTCATATCCATAATCCCAGCCCACTGGGAGACTAAGACAGGAGGATCCCGTGAGGCCAAGAGTTTAAGACCAGCCTTGGTGACACAGTGAAACCTCATCTCTACAAAAAACATTAGAAAATGAGCTGGGTATGGCAGCACATTCCTATAGTCCTAGCTACCCTAGGAGGCTTAAGTGGGAGGATAGTTGAACCCAGGAAGTGGAAGCTGCTGTGAGCAATGATCTCACCACTACACTCCAGCCTGGGTGACAGAGTGAGACCATGTCTACACACACCCCCCTCAGTCTGTCCAGCCTTGACTAATAAAAAGGGTCTTCCGGTTACAGAACAGGTGTGCTCATTTGTAGGACACGAAGGGACCAGCAAGCGTGTTCACAGCCTTTCCTCATCCTCTGCTTAGTTTTCCAAGAACCTTCAAGGGAGTCCCGAGGGAAAGGACAAATCTTCTGGTTGCCAGAGGAGAAATATGCCTCCTATGTCAATTGATAAAGGGAACACCTGCCATGAAAACCAGGAAGTTCTGCTAAGATGAACCACTCCCTACGACACTGACCTATGCAGGAAACATGAGAAACTGGAGTTTGTGGACCAATAATATTGAAGGTCACATTCCAGATTGTGGAGATCTAACCAAAGTACAGCCTTTCCACAAGGCACTGCCAAATAACAGCTGGCTGCCTCCATTGGGGCACTGCCGCCGTATCTCTGGCTCTCATTTCACCGGGAGATGCTCTATTCCAGCTTCCTCTTGCATTTTGTAATCTGTAGTTCCTGGGGTAAGACCTCACAACATAGCAGACTGCTGAGTCCATGCTGATCTACAGATCTGACTTCAGATTCTAGCAGGACTCTTTCAGTTTGAGGAATTAAAGAGGAGAGAAAATGGACCCAGCCTGGCACTGGCCAGCTTAGCAGTCCGAAGATAGAAGCTGCTCAAAATGACTACAGTGCTTCTGACTTTCTTAGTCTGACCTTCCTCCTAGGGCTCTTTGGATGAGATTTATTTCTCCTTGTTGAAGAAATTGTTTGCTAGACTATAAAAAAATTTCAGGAAGAATGAAATATTAAAATATAGTTTTCTCCTAAAGAGCACTCAAAAGTATAATCCCACCAGTGCTGGATCTATTTATCTCTCTCTCTCTCTCTCTCTTTTTTTCTTTTCTGAGATAGGGTCTCACTCTGTTACCAAGACTGGAGCACAGTGGTGAGATCACAGCTCACTGCAGCTTTCAACTCCTGGGCTCAAGTGATCCTCCACGTCAGCCTCCCAAGTAGCTGGGATTACAGGTGCATGCCACCGTGCCTAATTTTTTAAGTTTTTTTGTAGAGAAGGCCGCTATGTGGCCTAGGCTGGTCTTGAACTCCTAGGTCAAACTAATCCTCCTGCCTTGGCCCCCCAAAGTGCTGGAATTATAGGCTTTAGCCACCCCACCCAACCTATTTATCGTTGTGTATATATATACACACGCATACGTGCGCACACGTGCTCTCACACACACACACACACACACAAATATATACATAAATAAAATCTCATATACTAAATGTTGCTCCTTAAATCGCCTCCAACCCTCCCGTCTGCAGGGAGAGCAAACACAGGTCTCAGCAGATCAGGCAACCTACATGAAGAAAGGAGGCTGGAGTAATGCCAGAGACCAGGAGGAACTGTAGCAAATAGCAAGGTATTCACTTCAAAGGTTTTTCAACATTGTGATGGTCAAACCAAACACAGAAACAGGAAGCCCAGTTCAGTCACCAGCAGCCAACATGAGATATTTGATCTACATGCTACAGAACAAACTGTTTAGGATGAATGACCGTGTCTCCACCACCCCGTTCTTCAAGTCCCTCCTGCCCAGTAGTCCCTACACTCTGCTGACATGACCCACATTCACAGGACTCTCCTGACCCCTTTGCGTGTTACTCTTTTTTCCCCAATAACTATT